GGTGCCTTCCCCTTAATTTCATTTATTATGATCTGCTCTCTGATTCATCAATGTGCCATCCTCCACTTTCCGCTTAATTTCCAACTCGATTCATCCGCCATTCCATGGTGCCTTCCCCTTAAGCAGCTATGATCTGCTCTCCGATTCATCAATGTGCCATCCTCCATGGTGCCCATCCTCATTTATTATGATCTGCTCTCCGATTTCATCAATGTGCCATCCTCCATGTTGCCTTCCGCTTAATTTCATTTATTATGATCTGCTCTCCGATTCATCAATGTGCCATCCTCCATGGTGCCTTCGCTTAATTTTATTTTTATGATCTGCTCTCCGATTCATCAATGTGCCATCCTCCATGGCTTGCCTCTCCGATTCATTAATTCCGCTTAATATTTATTATGATCTGATTCTCTCCGATTCCTCAATGTGCCATCCTCCATGTTGCTTAATTTCAATTAATTTTATTTAATATGATCTGCTCTCTTAATTTTATTTATTATGATTCATCAATGTGCCATCCTCCATGGTGCCTTCCTCTTAATTTTATTTATTATGATCTGCTCTCCGATTCATCAATGTGCCATCCTCCATGTTGCCTTCCGCTTAATTTTCATTTATTATGATCTGCTCTCCGATTCATCAATGTGCCATCCTCCATGGTGCCTTCTGCTTAATTTTATTTATTTATGATCTGCTCTCCGATTCATCAATGTGCCATCCTCCATGTTGCCTTAATTAATTTCATTTATTATGATCTGCTCTCCGATTCATCAATGTGCCATCCTCCATGGTGCCTTCCCTTTAATTTCATTTATTATGATCTGCTCTCCGATTCATCAATGTGCCATCCTCCATGGTGCCTTCCCTTAATTTAATTTATGATCTGCTCTCGATTCATCAATGATCCTCCATGGTGCCTTCCTTAATTCATTTCAATGTGCCATTCCTCAATGTGCCATCCTCCTTCCCTTAATTTTATTTTATTTATGATCTGCTCTCCGATTCATCAATGTGCCATCCTCCATGTTGCCTTCCGCTTAATTTTATTTATTATGATCTGCTCTCCGATTCATCAATGTGCCATCCTCCATGGTGCCTTCCGCTTAATTTTATTTATTATGATCTGCTCTCCGATTCATCAATGTGCCATCCTCCATGGTGCCTTCCTTAATTTTATTTATTATGATCTGCTCTCCGATTCATCAATGTGCCATCCTCCATGGTGCCTTCCTGCTTAATTTATTTATTATGATCTGCTCTCCGATTCATCAATGTGCCATCCTCCATGGTGCCTTCTTAATTTCATTTATTATGATCTGCTCTCCGATTCATCAATGTGCCATCCTCCATGTTGCCTTCCCTTAATTTCATTTTTATGATCTGCTCTCCGATTCATCAATGTGCCATCCTCCATGGTGCCTTCCTTAATTTTATTTATTATGATCTGCTCTCCGATTCATCAATGTGCCATCCTCCATGGTGCCTTCTTAATTTATTATGATCTGCTCTCCGATTCATCAATGTGCCATCCTCCATGGTGCCTTCCCCTTAATTTTTATTTATTATGATCTGCTCTCCGATTCATCAATGTGCCATCCTCCATGGGTTGCCTTCCGCTTAATTTCATTTATTATGATCTGCTCTCCGATTCATCATGCCATCCTCCATGTGCCTTCCGCTTAATTTTATTTATTATGATCCTCCGATTCATCAATGTGCCATCCTCCATGTTGCCTTCTTCCCTTAATTTTATTTATTATGATCTGCTCTCCGATTCATCAATGCCATCCTCCATGTTGCCTTCCTTAATTTCATTTATTATGATCTGCTCTCCGATTCATCAATGTGCCATCCTCCATGGTGCCTAATGGCTTAATTTCATTTATTATGATCTGCTCTCCGATTCATCAATGTGCCATCCTCCATCATTTGCCTTCCGCTTAATTTTATTTATTATGATCTGCTCTCCGATTCATCAATGTGCCATCCTCCATGGTGCCTTCCCTTAATTTTATTTATTATGATCTGCTCTCCGATTCATCAATGTGCCATCCTCCATGTTGCCTTCCGCTTAATTTCATTTATTATGATCTGCTCTCCGATTCATCAATGTGCCATCCTCCATGGTGCCTTCCGCTTAATTTTATTTATTATGATCTGCTCTCCGATTCATCAATGTGCCATCCTCCATGGTGCCTTCCGCTTAATTTCATTTATTATGATCTGCTCTCCGATTCATCAATGTGCCATCCTCCATGGTGCCTTCCCCTTAATTTCATTTATTATGATCTGCTCTCCGATTCATCAATGTGCCATCCTCCATGTTGCCTTCCGCTTAATTTCATTTATTATGATCTGCTCTCGATTCATCAATGTGCCATCCTCCATGGTGCCTTCCTTAATTTTCATTTATTATGATCTGCTCTCGATTTCATCAATGTGCCATCCTCCATGGTGCCTTTAATTTCATTTTATTATGATCTGCTCTCCGATTCATCAATGTGCCATCCTCCATGTTGCCTTCCGCTTATTTCATTTATTATGATCTGCTCTCCGATTCCATCCTCAATGTGCCATAATTAATTTATTATGATCCTCCATTGGTGCCTTCCTCCTTAATTTCATTTATTATGATCTGCTCTCGATTCATCAATGTGCCATCCTCCATGGTGCCTTCCCTTAATTTTATTTATTATGATCTGCTCTCCGATTCATCAATGTGCCATCCTCCATGGTGCCTTCCGCTTAATTTTTATTTTATTATGATCTGCTCTCCGATTCCTCAATGTGCCATCCTCCATGGTTGCCTTCCGCTTAATTTCATTTATTATGATCTGCTCTCCGATTCATCAATGTGCCATCCTCCATGGTGCCCTTCCTTAATTTTATTTATTATGATCTGCTCTCCGATTCATCAATGTGCCATCCTCCATGTTGCCTTCCGCTTAATTTTATTTATTATGATCTGGTCTCCGATTCATCAATGCCATTCCATGGTGCCTTATTTTTTTTTCCCATAGATTATCGATTCATCAATGTGCCATCCTCCATGTTGCCTTCTTAATTTTATTTATTATGATCTGCTCTCCATTCATCAATGCCATCCTCCATGGTGCCTTCCTTAATTTTCATTTATTATGATCTGCTCTCCGATTCATCAATGTGCCATCCTCCATGTTGCCTTCCCCTTAATTTTATTTATTATGATCTGCTCTCCGATTCATCAATGTGCCATCCTCCATGTTGCCTTCCCTTTAATTTCATTTATTATGATCTGCTCTCCGATTCATCAATGTGCCATCCTCCATGGTGCCTTCCCCTTAATTTCATTTATTATGATCTGGTCTCCGATTCCTCAATGTGCCATCCTCCATGTTGCCTTCCCCTTAATTTCATTTATTATGATCTGCTCTCCGATTCATCAATGTGCCATCCTCCATGGTGCCTTCCCTTAATTTATTTATTATGATCTGGTCTCCGATTCATCAATGTGCCATCCTCCATGTTGCCTTCCCCTTAATTTTATTTATTATGATCTGCTCTCCGCTCAATGTGCCATCCTCCATGGTGCCTTCCCCAATTTATTATGATCTGCTCTCCGATTCCTCAATGTGCCATCCTCCATGGTGCCTTCCTTAATTTTATTTATTATGATCTGCTCTCCGATTCATCAATGTGCCATCCTCCATGGTCCTTCCTTAATTTTTATTTATTTGATCCGATTCATCAATGTGCCATCCTCCATGGTGCCTTCCGCTTAATTTTATTTATTATGATCTGCTCTCCGATTCATCAATGTGCCATCCTCCATGGTGCCTTCCCCTTAATTTCATTTATTATGATCTGCTCTCCGATTCATCAATGTGCCATCCTCCATGGTGCCTTCCCTTAATTTTATTTATTATGATCTGCTCTCCGATTCATCAATGTGCCATCCTCCATGTTGCCTTCCGCTTAATTTCATTTATTATGATCTGGTCTCCGATTCATCAATGTGCCATCCTCCATGGTGCCTTCCCCTTAATTTTATTTATTATGATCTGCTCTCCGATTCATCAATGTGCCATCCTCCATGGTGCCTTCCCCTTAATTTTATTTATTATGATCTGCTCTCCGATTCCTCAATGTGCCATCCTCCATGGTGCCTTCCCTTAATTTTATTTATTATGATCTGGTCTCCGATTCCTCAATGTGCCATCCTCCATGGTGCCTTCCTTAATTTCATTTATTATGATCTGCTTCCGATTCATCAATGTGCCATCCTCCTGGTGCCTTCCCTTATTTTTATTTATTATGATCTGCTCTCCGATTCTCAATGTGCCATCCTCCATGTTGCCTTCCCTTTAATTTCATTTATTATGATCTGGTCTCCGATTCATCAATGTGCCATCCTCCATGGTGCCTTCCCCTTAATTTTATTTATTATGATCTGCTCTCCGATTCCTCAATGTGCCATCCTCCATGGTGCCTTCCCTTAATTTTATTTATTATGATCTGCTCTTAATTTCATTTATTATGATCTGATTCCGATCAATGTGCCATCCTCCATGGTGCCTTCCCTTAATTTTATTTATTATGATCTGCTCTCCGATTCATCAATGTGCCATCCTCCATGTTGCCTTACCTTAATTTCATTTATTATGATCTGGTCTCCGATTCCTCAATGTGCCATCCTCCATGGTGCCTTCCGCTTAATTTCATTTATTATGATCTGGTCTCCGATTCATCAATGTGCCCATCCTCCATGGTGTCTTCCCTTTAATTTCATTTATTATGATCTGCTCTCCGATTCATCAATGTGCCATCCTCCATGGTGCCTTCCCTTAATTTATTTATTTGATTTCCGATTTCAATGATCTGCTGCTCCGATTCATCAATGTGCCATCCTCCATGGTGCCTTCCCTTAATTTTATTTATTATGATCTGCCTCCGATTTAATGTGCCATCCTCCATGGTGCCTTTTAATTTTATTTATTATGATCTGGCTCTCCGATTCATCAATGTGCCATCCTCCATGGTGCCTTCCCCTTAATTTCATTTATTATGATCTGCTCTCCTTGATTCATCAATGTGCCATCCTCCATGGTGCCTTCCGCTTAATTTTATTTATTATGATCTGCTCTCAGATTCTTGCCATCCTCCAATGCCTTCAATGTGCCATTTATTTTATTTATTCTGATCTGTCTCCGATTCATCAATGTGCCATCCTCCATGTTGCCCTTCCGCTTAATTTCATTTATTATGATCTGCTCTCCGATTCATCAATGTGCCATCCTCCATGGTGCCTCCCTTTTAATTTCATTTATTATGATCTGCTCTCCGATTCATCAATGTGCCATTCTCCATGTTGCCTTCCGCTTAATTTCATTTATTATGATCTGCTCTCCGATTCATCAATGTGCCATCCTCCATGGTGCCTTCCCTTAATTTCATTTATTATGATGATCTCCGATTCATCAATGTGCCATCCTCCATGTTGCCTTCCCCTTAATTTTATTTATTATGATCTGCTCTCCGATTCCTCAATGTGCCATCCTCCATGGTGCCTTCCCCTTAATTTTATTTATTATGATCTGCTCTCCGATTCCTCAATGTGCCATCCTCCATGTTGCCTTCCGCTTAATTTCATTTATTATGATCTGCTCTCCGATTCCTCAATGTGCCATCCTCCATGGTGCCTTCCCTTAATTTTATTTATTATGATCTGCTCTCCGATTCATCAATGTGCCATCCTCCATGTTGCCTTCCTTATTTTATTTATTATGATCTGCTCTCCGATTCCTCAATGTGCCGTCCTCCATGTTGCCTTCCGCTTAATTTCATTTATTATGATCTGCTCTCCGATTCCTCCATCCTCCATGGTGTCTTCCCCTTAATTTTTATTTATTATGATCTGCTCTCCGATTCCTCAATGTGCCATCCTCCATGTTGCCTTCCCCTTAATTTTATTTATTATGATCTGCTCTCCGATTCATCAATGTGCCATCCTCCATGGTGCCTTCCCCTTAATTTTATTTATTATGATCTGCTCTCCGATTTCTCACTGTGCCATCCTCCATGATTCCTTCCCTTTAATTTTATTCATTATGATCTGCTCTACGATTCCTCAATGTGCCATCCTCCATGTTGCCTTCCGCTTAATTTCATTTATTATGATCTGCTCTCCGATTCATCAATGTGCCATCCTCCATGGTGCCTTCTTAATCAATGCCATCCTCCATGTCCCATGCCTTGCCTTCCTTAATTTTATTTATTATGATCTGCTCTCCGATTCATCAATGTGCCATCCTCCATGGTGCCTTCCCCTTAATTTTATTTATTATGATCTGCTCTCCGATTCCTCAATGTGCCATCCTCCATGGTGCCTTCCCCTTAATTTTATTTATTATGATCTGCTCTCCGATTCATCAATGTGCCATCCTCCATTTAATTTCATTTATTATGATCTGGTTCCGATTCATCAATGTGCCATGTGCCATCCTCCATGGTGCCTTCCGCTTAATTTTCATTTATTATGATCTGCTCTCCGATTCATCAATGTGCCATCCTCCATGGTGCCTTCCCTTAATTTTATTTATTATGATCTGCTCTCCGATTCATCATCCATGGTGCCATCCGATTCATCATGGTGCCTTCCCTTAATTTCCTTATTTATTATGATCTGCTCTCCGATTCCTCAATGTGCCATCTTCCATGTTGCCTTTCCCTTAATTTCATTTATTATGATCTGCTCTCCGATTCATCAATGTGCCATCCTCCATGGTGCCTTCCTTAATTTTATTTATTATGATCTGTGATTCCTCAATGTGCCATCCTCCATGGTGCCTTCCCTTAATTTTATTTATTATGATCTGCTCTCCGATTCCTCAATGTGCCATCCTCCATGTTGCCTTCCTCAATGTGCCAATTTATTTATTATGATCTGCTCTCCGATTCATCAATGTGCCATCCTCCATTTTTTGTTGCCTTCCCTTATCCTCCATTTCATTTATTATGATCTGCTCTCCGATTCATCAATGTGCCATCCTCCATGGTGCCTTCCCTTAATTTCATTTATTATGATCTGGTCTCCGATTCATCAATGTGCCATCCTCCATGTTGCCTTCCGCTTAATTTCATTTATTATGATCTGGTCTCCGATTCATCCTCAATGTTGCCATCCTCTGGTCTCCGATGTTGTGCTTAATTTCATTATTATGATCTGCTCTCCGATTCATCAATGTAATTTTATTTATTATGATCTGCTCTCCGATTCATCAATGTGCCATCCTCCATGGTGCCTTCCCTTAATTTCATTTATTATGATCTGCTCTCCGATTCATCAATGTGCCATCCTCCATGGTGCCTTCCCCTTAATTTTATTTATTATGATCTGCTCTCCGATTCATCAATGTGCCATCCTCCATGTTGCCTTCCGCTTAATTTCATTTATTATGATCTGCTCTCCGATTCATCAATGTGCCATCCTCCATGGTGCCTTTCCTTAATTTCATTATTATGATCTGCTCTCCGATTCATCAATGTGCCATCCTCCATGTTGCCTTCCGCTTAATTTCATTTATTATGATCTGCTCTGATTCATCAATGTGCCATCCTCCATGTTGCCTTCCCTTAATTTCATTTATTATGATCTGCTCTCCGATTCATCAATGTGCCATCCTCCATGTTGCCCTTCCCTTAATTTTATTTATTATGATCTGCTCTCCGATTCAATGTCATCCTCCATGTTGCCTTCCTCCATGATTGCTCTCTCCGATTTCAATGTGCCATCCTAATGCCTTCTTAATTTCATTTATTATGATCTGCTCTCCGATTCATCAATGGTGCCTTCCCTTAATTTATTTATTATGATCTGCTCTCCGATTCATCAATGTGCCATCCTCCATGTTGCCTTCCACTTAATTTTCATTTATTATGATCTGCTCTCCGATTCATCAATGTGCCATCCTCCATGGTGCCTTCCCTTAATTTCATTTATTATGATCTGCTCTCCGATTCATCAATGTGCCATCCTCCATGTTGCCTTCCCTTAATTTTATTTATTATGATCTGCTCTCCATGGTGATTCATTCAATGATTCCGATTCATCCTCCATCTCCATGTTGCCTTCCGCTTAATTTCATTTATTATGATCTGCTCTCCGATTCATCAATGTGCCATCCTCCATGTGCCTTCCCTTAATTTTCATTTATTATGATCTGCTCTCCGATTCATCAATGTGCCATCCTCCATGTTGCCTTCCTCAGATTTAATTTCATTTATTATGATCTGCTCTCCGATTCATCAATGTGCCATCCTCCATGTTGCCTTCCCTTAATTTCATTTATTATGATCTGCTCTCCGATTCATCAATGTGCCATCCTCCATGTTGCCTTCCTTAATTTCATTTATTATGATCTGCTCTCCGATTCATCAATGTGCCATCCTCCATGTTGCCTTCCCTTAATTTCATTTATTATGATCTGCTCTCCGATTCATCAATGTGCCATCCTCCATGGTGCCTTCCTTAATTTCATTTATTATGATCTGCTCTCCGATTCATCAATAATGCCATCCTCCATGGTGCCTTCCCCTTAATTTTATTTATTATGATCTGCTCTCCGATTCCTCAATGTGCCATCCTCCATGGTGCCTTCCCCTTAATTTTATTTATTATTATCTGCTCTCCGATTCATCAATGTGCTATCCTCCATGGTGCCTTCCCTTAATTTTATTTATTATGATCTCTCCGATTCCTCAATGTGCCATCCTCCATGTTGCCTTCCTTAATTTCATTTATTATGATCTGCTCTCGATTCATTGCCATCCTCCATAATTTCTTAATTTTTATTATGATCTGCTCTCCGATTCATCAATGTGCCATCCTCCATGTTGCCTTCCGCTTAATTTTCATTTATTATGATCTGCTCTCCGATTCATCAATGTGCCATCCTCCATATTTGCCTTCCCCTTAATTTCATTTATTATGATCTGCTCTCCGATTCATCAATGTGCCATCCTCCATGTTGCCTTCCGCTTAATTTCATTTATTATGATCTGCTCTCCGATTCATCAATGTGCCATCCTCCATGTTGCCTTCCGCTTAATTTCATTTATTATGATCTGCTCTCCGATTCATCAATGTGCCATCCTCCATGGTGCCTTCCCCTTAATTTTATTTATTATGATCTGCTCTCCGATTCATCAATGTGCCATCCTCCATGTTGCCTTCCGCTTAATTTCATTTATTATGATCTGCTCTCCGATTCATCAATGTGCCATCCTCCATGTTGCCTTCCCCTTAATTTTATTTATTATGATCTGCTCTCCGATTCATCAATGTGCCATCCTCCATGTTGCCTTCCCTTAATTTCATTTATTTATGATCTGATTCTCCGATTCATCAAATGCCATCCTCCATGTTGCCTTCCGCTTAATTTCATTTATTATGATCTGCTCTCCGATTCATCAATGTGCCATCCTCCATGGTTGCCTTCCCTTAATTTCATTTATTATGATCTGCTCTCCGATTCATCAATGTGCCATCCTCCATGTTGCCTTCCTTAATTTCATTTATTATGATCTTTATTCATGATCTGCTCTCCGATTCCTTTTAATTTCAATGTGCGATTCATCAAAATGTGCCATCCTCCATGTTGCCTTCCGCTTATGTTTTCATTTATTATGATCTGCTCTCCGATTCATCATTATTATGATCTGCTCTCAATGTGCCATCCTCCATGTTGCCTTCCCTTAATTTTATTTATTATGATCTGCTCTCCGATTCATCAATGTGCCATCCTCCATGTTGCCTTCCCTTAATTTCATTTATTATGATCTGCTCTCCGATTCATCAATGTGCCATCCTCCATGGTGCCTTCCTTAATTTTATTTATTATGATCTGCTCTCCGATTCATCAATGTGCCATCCTCCATGGTGCCTTCCGCTTAATTTCATTTATTATGATCTCTCCTGATTCATCAATGTGCCATCCTCCATGTTGCCTTTCGCTTAATTTCATTTATTATGATCTGCTCTCCGATTCATCAAATGTCCCTCCATCCTCCATCCTCCTTGCCTTCCCTTAATTTTATTTATTATGATCTGCTCTCCGATTCATCAATGTGCCATCCTCCATGTTGCCTTCCCCTTAATTTCATTTATTATGATCTGCTCTCCGATTCATCAATGTGCCATCCTCCATGTTGCCTTCCCTTAATTTCATTTATTATGATCTGCTCTCCGATTCATCAATGTGCCATCCTCCATGTTGCCTTCCTTAATTTCATTTTATTTGATCCTTCCCATCAATTAATTTTATTTATTTATGATCTGCTCTCCGATTCCTCAATGTGCCATCCTCCATGTTGCCTTCCTTTAATTTCATTTATTATGATCTGCTCTCCGATTCATCAATGTGCCATCCTCCATGGTGCCTTCCCTTAATTTTATTTATTATGATCTGCTCTCCGATTCATCAATGTGCCATCCTCCATGTTGCCTTCCCTTAATTTCATTTATTATGATCTGCTCTCCGATTCATCAATGTGCCATCCTCCATGTTGCCTTCCTTAATTTTATTTATTATGATCTGCTCCGATTCATCAATGTGCCATCCTCCATGTTCCTCCCCTTAATTTTATTTATTATGATGGTGCCATCCTCCTTGCCCCTTAATTTCATTTATTATGATCTGCTCTCCGATTCATCAATGTGCCATCCTCCATGGTGCCTTCCCCTTAATTTTATTTATTATGATCTGCTCTCCGATTCATCAATGTGCCATCCTCCATGTTGCCCTTCCCTTAATTTCATTTATTATGATCTGCTCTCCGATTCCTCAATGTGCCATCCTCCTCCATGTTGCCTTCCGCTTAATTTCATTTATTATGATCTGCTCTCCGATTCATCAATGTGCCATCCTCCATGTTGCCTTCCCTTAATTTTCATTTATTATGATCTGCTCTCCGATTCCTCAATGTGCCATCCTCCATGTTGCCTTCCTTAATTTCATTTATTATGATCTGCTCTCCGATTCCTCAATGTGCCATCCTCCATGTTGCCTTCCCTTAATTTCATTTATTATGATCTGCTCTCCGATTCATCAATGTGCCATCCTCCATGTTGCCTTCCCTTAATTTCATTTATTATGATCTGCTCTCCGATTCATCAATGTGCCATCCTCCATGTTGCCTTCCCTTAATTTCATTTATTATGATCTGCTCTCCGATTCTCAATGTGCCATCCTCCATGTTGCCTTCCCTTAATTTTATTTATTATGATCTGCTCTCCGATTCCTCAATGTGCCATCCTCCATGTTGCCTTCCCTTTAATTTTCATTTATTATGATCTGCTCTCCGATTCATCAATGTGCCATCCTCCATGGTGCCTTCCCTTAATTTAATTTTGATCTTCTCCGATTTATGATCTTCCTTTAATTTTATTCTCTCCGATTCATTTCAATGTGCCGATTCTCCATGTGCCATCCTGCCTTCCTTAATTTCATTTATTATGATCTGCTCTCCGATTCCTCAATGTGCCATCCTCCATGGTGCCTTCCCTTAATTTCATTTATTATGATCTGCTCTCCGATTCATCAATGTGCCATCCTCCATGGTGCCTTCCTTAATTTTATTTATTATGATCTGCTCTCCGATTCCTCAATGTGCCATCCTCCATGTTGCCTTCCCTTAATTTCATTTATTATGATCTGCTCTCCGATTCATCAATGTGCCATCCTCCATGGTGCCTTCCCTTAATTTAATTTATTATGATCTGCTTCCGATTATCAATCTGCTCTCCATGTTGATTCATTTCATTTGTGCCATCCTCCATGTTGCCTTCTCCTTAATTTTATTTAATTATATTCTGCTCTCCGATTCATCAATGTGCCATCCTCCATGTTGCCTTCCCTTAATTTTATTATGATCTGCTCTCCGATTCCTCAATGTGCCATCCTCCATGTTGCCTTCCCTTAATTTCATTCATTATGATCTGCTCTCCGATTCCTCCATGCCATCCTCCATGGAGCCTTCCCTTAATTTCATTTATTATGATCTGCTCTCCGATTCATCAATGTCATCCTCCATGTGCCTTCCCTTAATTTCATTTATTATTGCCTTCAATGTGCCATCCTCCATGTTGCCTTCCTTTAATTTCATTTATTATGATCTGCTCTCCGATTCATCAATGTGCCATCCTCCATCCTCCATCTTGATTCCTTGCCTTAATTTTAATTTCATTTATTATGATCTGCTCTCCGATTCCTCAATGTGCCATCCTCCATGTTGCCTTCCCTTAATTTTATTTATTATGATCTGCTCTCCGATTCCTCAATGCCATCCTCCATGTTTGCCTTCCCTTAATTTCATTTATTATGATCTGCTCTCCGATTCCTCAATGTGCCATCCTCCATGTTGCCTTCCCCTTTAATTTTATTTATTATGATCTGCTCTCTCCGATTCATTGCCATCCTCCATGTTGCCTTCATTTTATTTATTATGATCTGCTCTCCGATTCATCAATGTGCCATCCTCCATGTTGCCTTCCCTTAATTTTATTTATTATGATCTGCTCTCCGATTCATCAATGTGCCATCCTCCATGTTTGCCTTCCCTTAATTTCATTTATTATGATCTGGTCTCCGATTCCTCAATGTGCCATCCTCCATGTTGCCTTCCCTTAATTTCATTTATTATGATCTGCTCTCCGATTCATCAATGCGCCATCCTCCATGGTGCCTTCCCTTAATTTTATTTATTATGATCTGCTCTCCGATTCCTCAATGTGCCATCCTCCATGGAGCCTTCCCATTAATTTCTTTTATTATGATCTTCTCTCCGATTCATCAATGTGCCATCCTCCATGGTGCCTTCCCTTAATTTTATTTATTATGATCTGCTCTCCGATCTGCCATCCTCCATGTTTCTCCTTTAATTTTATTCACTGATCTGCTCATCCTCCATCCTCCATGATTCCTTCCTTTAATTTTATTCATTATGATCTGCTCTCCGATTCCTCAATGTGCCATCCTCCATGTTGCCTTCCCCTTAATTTCATTCATTATGATCTGCTCTCCGATTACTCAATGTGCCATCCTCCATTTTTGCTTAATTTTATTTATTATGATCTGCTCTCCGATTCCTTAATTTCATCCTCCATTGCCTTCCCCTTAATTTTATTTATTATGATCTGCTCTCCGATTCCTCAATGTGGATTCCTCCATGTTGCCTTCCCCTTAATTGCATTCATTATGATTTTGCTCTCCGATTCCTCAATGTGCCATCCTCCATGTTGCCTTCCCTTAATTTTATTCATTATGATCTGCTCTCCGATTCCTCAATGTGCCATCCTCCATGGTGCCTTCCCTTAATTTTATTCATTATGATCTGCTCGATTCAGATATTCTTCCTTAATATGGATTCCGATTCCATGTTTCCTTGTTGCCTTCCCTTAATTTCATTTATTATGAACTGCTTCCCGATTCCTCAATGTGACATCCTCCATGTTGCCTTCCCCTTAATTTTATTTATTATGATCTGCTCTCTCATCAATGTGCCATCCTCCATTCCTCCCTTAATTTTGTGCCATCCGATTCTCAATGCCATCCTCCATTGCCTTCCCTTAATTGCATTCATTATGATCTGCTCTCCGATGCCTCATTGTGTCATCCTCCATGTTGCCTTCCGCTTAATTTCATTTATTATGATCTGCTCTCCGATTCATCAACGTGCCATCCTCCATGGTGCCTTCCCCTTAATTTTATTTATTATGATCTGCTCTCCGATTCCTCAATGTGCCATCCTCAATGTTGCCTTCCGCTTAATTTCATTTATTATGATCTGGTCTACGATTCCTCAATGTGCCATCCTCCATGGAGCCTTCCCCTTAATTTCATTTATTATGATCTGCTCTCCGATTCCTCAATGTGCCATCCTCCATGTTGCCTTCCCCTTAATTGCATTCATTATGATCTGCTCTCCGATTCCTCAATGTGCCATCCTCCATGGAGCCTTCCCCTTAATTTTATTTATTATGATCTGGTCTCCGATTCCTCAATGTGCCGTCCTCCATGTTGCCTTCCCCTTAATTTCATTTATTATGATCTGGTCTCCGATTCATCAATGTGCCATCCTCCATGGTGCCTTCCCCTTAATTTTATTCATTATGATCTGCTCTCCGATTCCTCACTGTGCCATCCTCCATGATTCCTTCCCCTTAATTGCATTCATTATGATCTGCTCTCGGTTCCTCATTGTGCCATCCTCCATGTTGCCTTCCCTTAATTTCATTAATTATGATCTGCTCTACGATTCCTCAATGTGCCATCCTCCATTTTGCCTTCCTCTTAATTTCATTTATTATGATCTGCTCTCAGATTCCTCAATGTGGATTCCTCCATATTGCCTTCCCCTTAATTGCATTCATTATGATTTGCTCTCCGATTCCTCCATGTGCCATCCTCCATGTTGCCTTCCCCTTAATTTTATTCATTATGATCTGCTCTCCGATTCCTCAATGTGCCATCCTCCATGGTGCCTTCCCCTTAATTTTATTCATTATGATCTGCTCTCTGATTCCTCAATGTGGATTCCTCCATGTTTCCTTACCCTTAATTTCATTTATTATGAACTGCTTCCCGATTCCTCAATGTGCCATCCTCCATGTTGCCTTCCCCATAATTTTATTTATTATGATCTGCTCTCCGATTCATCGATGTGCCATCCTCTATGTTGCCTTCCCCTTAATTGCATTCATTATGATCTGCTCTCCCATGCCTCATTGTGTCATCCTCCATGTTGCCTTCCCTTTAATTTCATTTATTATGATCTGCTCTCCGATTCCTCAATGTGCCATCCTCCATGTTGCCTTCCCCTTAATTTTATTCATTATGATCTGCCCTCCGATTCCTCAATGTGCCATCTTCAATATTGCCTTCCCCTTAATTGCATTCATTATGATCTGCTCTCCGGTTCCTCAATGTGCCACCCTCCATGTTGCCTTCCCCTTAATTTTATTAATTATGATCTGCTCTACGATTCCTCAATGTGCCATCCTCCATTTTGCCTTCCTCTTAATTTCATTTATTATGATCTGCTCTCAGATTCCTCAATGTGGATTCCTCCATGTTGCCTTCCCCTTAATTGCATTCATTATGATTTGCTCTCCGATTCCTCCATGTGCCATCCTCCATGTTGCCTTCCCCTTAATTTTATTCATTATGATCTGCTCTCCGATTCCTCAATGTGCCATCCTCCATGGTGCCTTCCCTTAATTTTATTCATTATGATCTGCTCTCTGATTCCTCAATGTGGATTCCTCCATGTTTCCTTACCCTTAATTTCATTTATTATGAACTGCTTCCCGATTCCTCAATGTGCCATCCTCCATGTTGCCTTCCCCATAATTTTATTTATTATGATCTGCTCTCCGATTCATCGATGTGCCATCCTCTATGTTGCCTTCCCCTTAATTGCATTCATTATGATCTGCTCTCCCATGCCTCATTGTGTCATCCTCCATGTTGCCTTCCTTTTAATTTCATTTATTATGATCTGCTCTCCGATTCCTCAATGTGCCATCTTCAATATTGCCTTCCCCTTAATTTTATTCATTATGATCTGCCCTCCGATTCCTCAATGTGCCATCTTCAATATTGCCTTCTCCTTAATTTTATTCATTATGATCTGCTCTCCGATTCCTCAATGTGCCATCCTTCATGTTGCCTTCCCCTTAATTTCATTTATTATGATCTTCTCTCCGATTTTTCAATGTGCCATCCTCCATGTTTCTTAACTTAATTTTATTCATTATGACCTGCTCTCTGATTCTTCATTGTATTGTCATACACTGCCCCTTTCCCTTCATTCCATTCATTATGTTCTAACACATTTTATTCTTTGATGAGCATTTCTTTATCTTTGACAATTTTTTACTTTTTATTTATCCCATACACTTATTAAAATTTTCATTTTAATATATTTCCCATACACTGTATCTAATATAAAA